CCAGTTTTGCAAAGGAAGATGGGGGTGGATGATTCATGTAACGGGAAGTTCCCAAAAGAAATCCATATAATGTATTCTTAGGGATAATTCGGTCACCACAGCAAGATGATGAATAAGAACACCCATTCAAATTCTCACCGTGTCTGTGCACTCAACACTCTCTCTGTTAGAGTCTGGACGTAAAGTTCCCAATTGGTCAAACCTTCTTACAGTTAGGACCACAGTCAAAATCCCCTCTCGATTCCCCCAATGAACGAGAGGTCCACAAATCAAGCGATCAAACCTCCTACAGTTAGGATCGTCTCAAACCTTCCATTGGTCAAACCTTCTTACAGTTAGGACCACAGTCAAAATCCCCTCTCGATTCCTCCAATGAACGAGAGGTCCACTTTCAAATCGAGTGATCAAACCTTCCTACAGTTAGGGTCACCTCAAACTCCTGTTTGGCCAAACCTTCCTACAGTTAGGTCAAAACCATAATTCGCTCTCGATAAACAAGAAATTCATCTCTGGTTCGGTAATCAAACCTTCCGACAGTTAGGGTTATCTGAATCTCTTCGATTCTTGTAGTAGAGATCCCACTCTCAGTTTCACCTTTCCGGATTCTGGGGGTGGAGATCCCACCTCGAGTCTCCTTTCCGTCTGAAGATAGAATATAAAATTTTTCTTCTTCAGTGTCGGGAGATAGGGTATAAAATTCTTCCTCTCCCATTTCGGGTTCGTCTTTGCCCCAAGAGAAGACACCATCTTTTTCAACTCCTAAAATCTGTGCTTCACAGGTACAGGAAATTTTATCCCGAATCCTAAGTAGGGATAAGTCAACGCCTAACACGCGTCGCCGGTTTAGTCTTTTTCCGTAGAAAAAGACACCAGAGCTCGATTCTGGGGTATTCTATCCTGAAACCTAAGCAAGGATAAGTCTGCGCTTAATCCGCGCTGCCGGTTAGTTCTTAACCGTTAAAAAGAACACCCGTTCACATATTCAATATTGTGACAGGTTGTTATTAATAACACCAGAATCCATGCCTTACACGCATGGGGAATTTCATCCCGAATCCTAAGAAAGGATATGCCGACGCCTAACACGCGTCGCCGGTTTAGTCTTTCCCCGTAGAAAAAGACACCAGAGTTCGATTCTGGGGTATACTATCCCGAAGCCTAAGTAGGGATAAGTCAACGTCTAATACACGTTGCCGGGTAGCCTATTCCCGTAGCAATGGCAAAGTCTACGTATTCGAAGTCGTAGCATCAAGTCTAAGGGAGTTCATTCCTTTAGCACAACGTCACATGCGGAACGGACTTAAAACAATCCGCATGTAAGCCCGATTAAACGGTAGTCGGTAAAGGCTAATCAAATCCGTTGAAGGCTGGGGGTTAGCCAAAAATCCTAAAGTCAACACCTAACACGTGTCGCCGGGTAGCCTATTCCCGTAACAATGGCGAAGTCTATGTATTCGACATCATAGCACAAAGTCTCAGAGAATTCACTCTCTTAGCACAACGTTACATGCGGAACGGATTTAGACAATCCTAACCCTAGGTCAACGCCTATCAATGCGTTGCAATGAAAAAAAATCTTACTCCGAAAAGTATACGAGTATAAACTGCTTCTTACTCCGAAAAGTATACGAGTATAAACTGCTTCTTAATACTCTGAAAAGTATACGAGTATAAACTGCTTCTTAATACTCTGAAAAGTATACGAGTATAAACTGCTTCTTAATACTCCGAAAAGTATACGAGTATAAACTGCTTCTTATACTCCGAAAAGTATACGAGTATAAACTGCTTCTTACTCCGAAAAGTATACGAGTATAAACTGCTTCTTACTCCGAAAAGTATACGAGTATAAACTGCTTCTTATTACTCCAATAAGGTATACGAGTATAAACTATTCCCTATTGTTGGTTGATAAGTTCCTGGAGAATATTTTCATTCTTAAGGAGAACTCAACAACACTACGCCGGACAACGCGTCGCAAATAAAGACACCACGCCAACAATCGATGGTCAGCTAAATATTAGAAAATCAGGAATCGACTTCAAGTTTAAAATTCCGATAACGGTCAGACAATAAATGCAGTACCGGAACTCTTACGGACATTCGACAAAGCACCGAATAGCCTGGAGAATTGAAGGAATCAAGAACAGAAGCCATTCCAAGGTCCCGTTACACCGACTGAAGGTTGGGACAATCATATCAAAAGTATTCCAGGCTCTTTTATAAAAGAACGAGACTGAAATATTTTGGAGGGGGTATCTGTAGGCATATAAAATTGCTTATAGGTCCCTTAGCACAGCTCGGCACAAACCGACAAACCAACGAGGCGACGAGATCGACGAATCGCACGCAAGCAACGGAATACGTCCATTCGCGTGCAGAATCAAGCCAAGTGTTGAAGAGTCAACGAGTCATCCAACCAAGAGCAGACTCGTACGAATCACGATCGAATCAAGATCAATTTCGGACTCGAACTCAGAAGTGGATTTACTGCCTAATCAGGATCCGGACTTACTGCCAAATCTGGAATCAAGTCAACGAGTCGTTTCCAGGTCAATCAACCACACAACAGAAACACAACCGAATCAAATCCAGATCAACAACGAAGCACAGAACCGGACAACGGAAAAATGACGGAACGAACAACACCCGGAGGGGCTCGGCCGAAACCGAGCCACCTCAAGGTGAGCCACCTCCTTGGTGGCTCGGCGGCCACCAAGGTGGCTCGGCCACCACCGAGCCACCAAGAGGTGGCTCGGTGGCCGAGCCACCAAGGTGGCCGGCCGAGCCACCTCTTGGTGGCTCGGCATGAGCCGAGCCACCTTGAGGTGGCCGACCATCTGAGTGTTGGCCACACGTGCACACGGGCACAGTGACGCTTGGCTATAAATAGGAGAGGGGGTTGTTCATTTTGAGGGGTTGGAAAATTGGGAGAGAGGCGAAGCCCTGCTGGATTGGAGACTCAGATCTAAAAAAGATCTCAACTTTGGGACTTCGAAGACTTGCTCATTCAGATCTGGTGCTCGGCGACCGTCAACGCCAAATAAGGCAGGTGTTCGAGAGGATCGGATCTCAGATCTACGCAGGCATACTCCGGATCTAAGCTTGGTCTTAGATCCCGAGACTTGGACGATTGTTTCCTTGGTGAACCAATCCTCCCCGGCTATTATTTCCTTGGTGAAATAGTCCACGGATAAACCCCGACGCAGGCAAAGAACCCACATCAAGCGAGCGACCGCAAAACAGGAGCTCGCGATTTGTTCGACAAACAAGGATAAAAAAGTTGTAATCTTTCTTTTATTTTCTTTGATTTTCATTGTAACCGGATCTAAAAAAGACCGGATCTTCTGTAACCGAAAAACTGTTATTCAAGATAGCAATGGAATCAATGAAGAAAGCAACGATTTTTCAAGCGAACAATCTGGCGACCACAGTGGGAGCCAACGATCTCGCTGCCGAGATCGTTGCGTCGCAGCCGCGGATCTCGATCTCATTTTGTGTGCGACTCCTTATGTTTCATTATAAATTGTGTTCTCAAGGTTTCAATTTCTCTCCAAAAGCCTGAGTATTATTGAAGGTTATGCTCAAGCTATGTTGCTTCTTACATGCATATATTTTGCAATATCAAACGTATTGTGTAACAGTTTATTTGGAATTTAATAATCTAATTTTGTTGGGCATTAGCTTGACAACTGAGAGTATCTATTTAATTTATCGATCAATAAAAATAGAATGCTTAAGAATTGTCACTAATAGAAAGTAAATAAGTACATGCCCCTGCTATAAAAGTATTGTTTGGGGGATATTTAGAGCTCAAAATTTTGTGTATTTTTACCGAAAGTTGGATCCTGCGTATCAGATAAATAATTTATATCTTAATTGCTGCTTTCCTTACGGTGTATTTGTAATTGCAGCGAACTGTTTATGCAACTTTTCAACAAGCAACTCCTAGCTATGAACATATCAGAAATGTGAAGTAACCATAGCCAGAAATTTGTATTACTGTTACTCGTGTTGTATACTATTAGTACTTGTTTTACTTCTTTGCAGCCTGTTGATTGTTAATCACATCATCCTGTTGCGGGGCACAAACTTATCTGGGAGAACTCAGTCAAGGAGTACTACAGGTGCATCTCCTTCAACACAATTTACTCGCTCTTGTTTAATTGCATTATCTACATTATAAATTCCCATTGGTATTGACTGCTTTCAAGTTTTGAGGCATCCTTATTCGAGGTCTCATCATTTTGCATCTTCTTATCAATTATGGTAACTTGTTAGCATTCATTTTACAGATGCAATTCTCCTTAACCTATATGTCGTCATTTCACAGATATTGATTTCCTGTTCTTTATATTCTAAATTCTTGTATATTTTTTCTTGACCCGTTATTTTCTACTAATTTTACAAATTTCCCTTTATTCTCTCTCGTCATGGTGCTCATGCCTCTCTTGGATATTTAGCTTAAGAACCGATAGAGTATGAAGGCAGGAGTCACTTTTTCGAGACATGGAGTTAAAAATATTGACCTCTGTCTTCCAGCTATTTGATACTTGTTGTAATAGTAAACTGATAGTTGTCATCATTTAATTTTGTCATTAAATAGGATAACTAAAAGGGTATTGATTTACTTTAGATATCATGCTTTTGTACTGTTCAATTATGAAAACTGTGATAGACATTTAATTGGTTTTGTTATTCATATTGCTCGTCATATACTCTTAAAATGTCATCTATATGATATAAAACTTTCTTCCCTGTCTCAACTATTATGCTTGATAATTTTCATTTTTCACTTTATCATCAGGTGGAGAGAGGAATCACTGCTTACTTAAGCGGGCTACGGGAGAAGTACTTTGGTATGTAGCATCTTTTGAGTCAAAGGCCAAGGAAATATGGCTTGTATTTCGGAATGAAGGACTGTCATTGTCGAAACTGATGTATACTGCAGAAGAAACGAAAAAAGTCACTGGTGATGGAAGTAAAATAAGAAACATTCAGGCACTCTGTCCCTCAACTTGGTGGCACTAGTTGAGGACATCAGAGGAAGGAGAGAAAGAAATGCAAAATCTCATTAGACAATATGTTGATCATCTTTGTTTTTAAAAATTGTTGTATTTTTAAATCTTTCTTTTTAGTTTTTTAAATCTCAAAAGGCATCAGACCTTGATATTTGTGACATTTGGATTGGGAAAATTTTGAATGTAGTGTATGGATGTATGCGAGATACTAGATATGGAAAATGCATGAAATTTGTGAAATTTGAATGTATGCGAGATGGTTGTGGAGATTGTTGTGAAATTTGGATTGCATATATTTCGAATGTAGTGCAGGGATTGTATATAGGAAATCTTGCATGAAATCAATATATTTTTTTTGGTGATTATATAACATCCTTGACGGGCTTGCCGTCAGGGATGTTTTCACATCCCTGATGGTCGTAGCCGTCAGGGAAGATGCCGTCAGTAATAAGCATTACTACGATGTTATAACATCCTTGACGGGCTTGCCGTCAGGGATGTTTTCACATCCCTGATGGTCGTAGCCGTCAGGGAAGATGCCGTCAGTAATAAGCATTACT